TTAAAAAATATTAAAGTTGTTTCTTAATTTCCACCGGAGGTAACATATATTAGATGTCGCAGGCGTAGCTGCATTGAGTTTTAATTCGATGTTCTACTATTGGTTTTATAGCATAGTCCACATACTATAAGAAGTTTTACTTCTTCACATTATTTTCGAGAAAAAAAAGCGCTCTACGTAGAATTTTAGGCACGACGGCCATCTTGAATTTCTATTGGTTTGCGTTCGAAACGAATAAAATAGTTGTGATTAAAAAGGAGCGCTCTATAAATAAATTAGCAACATCAGGGCAGAATACTTTAGTATAGTAAGAGCAAAAATTTTCTGAGCGAAATCAGAATAGAAAAGAAAACTGCAGCGCTACAGATGTCAGTTGGGTATGGTAGGACGATAAGTCATTCACTTTTTTCTTTGCAGTTGTATATTTCGAAGTATTCTTGTTTCGTCGACAACTCACTCTCACACCGCCCCTCCCGCCTCTGATGTTCTCTGATCTATATTCTTTGAAGTGGCCGCTTTGTCGACGAAACGAGAATACCCCGTATATTTCAATATATAAGAGGAGAGAAAAAAGTGATTATCGTTATAGTGGCAGCCTCGGCGTAATAATTTCGGTATCGCTGGCGGCTTGTGGATGTAGCGAGTACTGTTTCTGTTCAGTACGGTAGATATAGAGGGATTTCATGGGCACAGCCAAATTGGTCCCACCGTACTAGTATTGCAGAGCAGTGCGAGCGTCAGTTCCTCTAGGGAACACATTCAACACAAGTCCTAGCGTGATGTTATCATCACATGCGATATCGATTGCCTTATCGGTACTACCGTCACTAACTAGAGCTCTAGGCTCAAAAAAAGGGTTTTAGGCTCTTTTTTATGATACTTTTAATGCTTTTGTTAACTTTTTGGTGTACGTATTTTGTGCTTCTTCTACTCTTTGGACAATACTTGCTTATGATATGGTTAGTATGCTTGTTAAAATTAACATCGGTGAAAAACAACAAAGAAAACATACTGTTTTGTTGCAATTTGAATTTTTAGCCGCATTTCGCTCTTATTTATTCAACAGATACACATCGAGATTCAATTCAAGATGACGCTAGCTAGAGAAATCAGATGACAGTTTGACGCTTTAGAATCGCTGCGACTAGATTCATAACTAGTTGATAGTTTCAAAGAGAAAGATAAGCTAGTTGCAGCGCCCAATTTAGCGCCGCTTCAACTAGCGCATTTTTCATAATGTGTATATTATAACAGCTAGCTGAAACGGCCGCTAAGCAGACCGATGTAGCTAGTCAGAGTAGATGCTAGATTGCAACTAGCGTTGAAACGGGTGTTGCAGCTAGCTCTATCGAGTTTCATTTTAAATTTTCTACGCTCTTGATCTGTTATTTGTTACGGCCCGATGCAACGGGCGCTACAGCGGCCGTTGTAGCTAGTTTATGTTTCTCTTTGAAACTACTAATAAAAATAGCTAGCTGTAACGGGTTATTTATCGTATTAAGCTTTCATCGACAATTTGTAACTAGCTGCAGCAGGTATCTAATCGGCCGCTATAGTGCCCGCTCCATGGTGTGTACGTTTATGCAGCTAGCTGCAACGGGTATCGAAACTAGTGCAGCTAGCTGCAGCGCCCGCTAACCCGCTTCAATATTTTTACATTTTTTTACAGCTAGTTGCAGCGGGTTATGAAGCTAGTGTAGCTAGCTGCAGCGGGCGCTACTAGCTTACTTTTTCATGCTTGGGACATCAGTGGTAAATTTGACAGAAAATGCCACCTGCTCAAGCATTCCAATAATACAACGAAAATCTTCCAAAAGGGTATTGTCGAAAGCTTATTTCTTATTTTACTTTTCCGTGTAAACCTTCTTTTTGTGCTTTAAAACCAAACCTTGTCGATGAATAAACCGAAAAAACACGGTGAAAGTTCTTCCATCGATGATTTGCCAACGCTTAACACAAACAGTTCGATTAGTTTGGTGATATATGAGTCAGCATTTGATGAATTATGCGATTGGATAATTGGAATTTTAAATACCGGTACAAGTATTGCAATGATAGCTGTTCAAGAGAAGTACACACATATTTTAAAGACTCGGAATAACAAAATAACCGAATCAGTCGTGCGACCGCTATATATTCGCAAACGTTTGAACCATTCAGCTATCGTTCAATCGCTTTGTGAACGGGATATACTTTGTTGCTTGGTCATGATACTTTTTTGTCTAGTTTAAGTGTATGACACAAATGGATCAATACCTTTTTTTGGCTTATATCCATTCAGAAAGTTCTCTTAGGTAGTGTGTATAAGTCTGTAAACTTTTCTCTAAAGCGAACAACGATGCTTTGTGGTTTCTTTCTGTTTATTTGGCAGGCATACAAATACAAAATTTGAGATTTATTTTCCTCGTGTTTCTGCATCAATCATGGTGGAAAAGTTAATGTAAGGCTGCAGTAAAATATGATTGAATCATCGGCACAATAATTATATTCAATCACCGAAACTGCGAAAAAAGCGGTTGTGTAATATTTAAGGAGTCAGTAGCCTTTATTTCAAAAATGCAGGCCAGTGGAGCTATTTACAATCGAGCAGATGACGCGAAGTCTTTTGCCCGGAATTTAAAAGAAACAAAAGGTACAACGATACAAAAACTTTGTACTATAAGCTAAAAATTGGCTATTATATCATTAATGTTTTCTTGCGTGATCATGTCTTCGTAATATAGCGCTCGATCAAGTGATCGACGAGTTAATTCTAATGAGTATGGTTTAATCTTTTGGATTTTACTTATTCGATGACATATCCCCCCGGTACTAGTAGAACATCGGATAAGTAAAATCCAAAAGATTAAACCATACTCAATAGAATTAACTCGTCGTTGACATTTTCTGTCAAATTTACCACTGATGTATCTTGTGTTTCAAACGAACTGATAGTATCGTTGAGTGAAAATGTATGGTCGTCTGTTGTCACAACTGAATGAGATTGTGTTGGTGTGAATCACGGAGAAGTATCAAGTTGAGTTATTTCTTCATGTACTGTATTCGACTCTCTCATGATCATAGATGATGCTGTTACTTGATCACTTCTGATTAACTGAACACTTAGTTTGGGAGGTGATAATTCTTGAGTAACGGAATGTTTTCTGTAGGCCAGTGCATGTTACCGATTTGCATACCGACCTTGATGAATGTTTCTTTATCTTTGATATCAGAAAAGGTTACTTTGATTGTTGTTTCGGGTCCGGATTTCGTGAAATTCTGAAAACGATATACGCTGATGACCGAGAGACCGGCATGTTTTAGTTCAGCGGCAATTTCGTTCTCCGGAATTTCAATATCTACGTGTTTTATTATTGCTTCTTTATCAATTTGCTGGATTTTTTCTGTCGATTTTGGCAGAAATACTTTAACGTTTTGTGGATTTGCACATTGATTTACCGGAAATTCGTTTAAGATTTTATTAAACCCGGCAGCACCAAGTGGGAATAACGTGAAAGTTTTATTTTTATTTTGTTGGATATTGCTGAGTTTCACTTGCGGCAAATGTGCTACCAGTAACTTGTTCAGTTGTGTCCTATTTAGGAACTCATCAGCAGTAAGTATTAATGGTGCAATTTGATACTGATTTTTGGGTTCAAACGCCGGTGTCATTGTTCTTGTTTGCCTTCCCGCGTTTTGCTGTTGTCTTCCTCTCTCCCAGTTCTGTTGCCTTTTCCTGGCATTTCCACCCCTCACAGGGGAATCAATTTCCATCTATGTTGTAACCAGTGATCCAATATTTATTTCTGTTACGTTTGACCAAATTATACCTGAAAATTTGATATATTTTAGTTAAACTTTATTCACTTTGCTATTTAACGCTTATGTGTAACGAGAGACACGTCCGCTCCTTAGCTCGCTAATTAGTTTTTCGTGTAATATTTGACTAATCCCATCTGGAAACACGTTTTTGTAATCTACTTCATTTCGAAACACCGTCAGATAAAGAAGGAAACGTTCATTTCACTCAATATTTTTTCAGCGTACATTCAATTATCCGTCTCTAAAGCAAAAGAAACTCAATATTCTATTTTAACAACGAATACTTGTAACGAAGTGATTGGCAATAAAAATGATACAGAATCATTATTCAATGCCATTTGTATAATTAGAGATCCTATAACCGCCGGCTATCAAACTCTAAAAACATTTGATGACAAGATGGAAAAATTGACTTTATTTACAGTTGATGACTTTTGGACATGTGCGCCGCTACTATTGAGAAATGTTATCGGATTTTTAACGCTAAATGACGTCGATTTTCGAAAAGTTCGACGTAATTATGATCATTATAATCTCTTTTCATCCGAGTACTTTGACAAATCTTCAAAATGGTTGAAAATTTGTTCTATATCTTACGACCTTATGAATTGTAAAAATGATGTATTTCTATCGCCGAACCATTATATGTTAGCAAACGAATTATTGCGACATGAAAAATCAACTGATCTAGTTTCCATTTTCAATAGGTATGGTCATACGTGTTCGTATCAAACGATTATGAAACTACATCGAGCGGTAGCGAAGATGGAAGGCGATGGGTGCCAACTTCAAAATCAGTTCGTCCTAATTGTTTTGCAACCAAATGTGTAGATAACTTCGACATCAATCGAGATACAGTTCACGGAACCGGTAGTTTTCACATAATGAATCAGATAATTATTCAAAATCCTGAGAATATACTTGATGCACCAAATGCAACCCAAAATGCAAGTTTAAATGCTACATTTATAAATAATTCCACTGATTCAAGGACTAAAAATGTCTCAAGCCTTGATGTTTTAGATGGTAACACATTAAGAATTAGTACATTTTTCTTGATCATGTTTGAGTGGCAAATGCCTATATAATATGATTTCCGATGTATAATGCCCTTCAACCTTCTTTAAGCTATTAACACTATGAATAAGTAGGAAAATTTGCCTCTGACTCATGAAAGCAACTTGTTTGTTGAACTAACACGAACCTCTCTTGTTTTCATTAAGCTTCCATGACAAGTGATGGTGAACAACAGTCACATTATACATCTGAAATTGATGCACTGGATGAGGTATTAATAGCATATGGATTAACAAAACTGTATTGTTCATCTGTAAAGCATGAAATGCCGTTATTGACGGGTTTTTTTGCAACCCACCTACAAGCGAAACAAAGACCACCACATATTATCTCTTTCTGCTCACCGATTAATGAAGATCCTAGTAGTAAACGTGTGCCAGAATATGTCTACAGATGTCAAAATGTTCCATTCTTGATACAAAGCGTTAATCAGAGACTGTACTTGTTGCTGATGAAAAGATTTATAGCAACTGTGTCAAGGTAATATTTTATTCTTACTTTCATGTTTATAAGAAGTTAAAGAAGGGAAACATTGCAGCATAATTATGTTGTACGGAAACGCCACTGTCACCTAAGAAATGATGTATGTTTGAACAACTGTTTCTTTTATTGGTGTACTAATTACTGATTTGGATCAAATTTGCGGTCTTTGGACGGTTATTTTTCTAAGCGAAGATCAGAAATTTTTGATTGGTACTAAAAGGCAAATTACTAAGCAGCTAAGTTCTAGTTTAACTACCAATGCCTCTAATGTTGCAAGAAAACAGCAAAAATGCTTATTTTAAAAGGAGCATATGACAGAAACCCACCCAAAATTCTCTATCGTTCAGTACAAAAACAGTTAATGATATAAAGGAGTTCTACTTATTTTTGGTGTTTCTACATCTGTGCATGTATTTTTTGCTGTTATTGCAGATCATACATGATAATAATGAAAATACTCCATTTTCAAACATTTTCTTGATGCCTGAAGACTTCCACATTATGAAGAATTACATGGTGATGTAACATAGCAAAATTAGGTCGATCAGGAAATGAATCGTTTTCAGCGTTGTTCCGTAGTTTTAAATAACTGGCATAACCTTCTGCTTTCCATACAATAGATTATAGTTAAACTTCTTGTACCCAAGATCTTGGGTTAAGAAATATCACAAGATCTTGGAAAAAACACCAGAAGTCAAGATCTTGGATTCTTGAATCTTTTACTCAAGATCTTGAAACATCTTGGCTTACTCCACTCAAGATCTTGGCCAAGGCCTTGAGAAGTGAAATTTCAAGATCTGAGGTAGAGTAAGCCAAGATGTTTCAAGATCTTGGATTCTTGAGTCTTTCACTCAAGATCTTGGATTCTTGAGTCTTTCACTCAAGATCTTGGATTCTTGAGTCTTTCACTCAAGATCTTGGATTCTTGAGTCTTTCACTCAAGATCTTGAGTGAAAAATTTTATTTAAATTTTGTTTTATTTATGACAGTCATTGCCATCGGACATACGCCCATATAGAGTCATAGATTCTCCCTTAAATAACTATGTTCGAGAAGAAAAAAAATCGAACTTATTCTACGTGTGAAAATATGCGCACTTATACTTATTTAATTTAGTGTAACAAAACGATAATTCAAGAATTTCCAAGATCTTGGTACAAGAAATCAAGAAATTACAAGATGTTCTAGATCTTGACTTCTTGAAATTTAATTAAAAGTAAGCAATCTCAAACTACTAAAAATTTATCAAAATGGGCTTATTTTATCTCATCTTCACACTACATCACATATTAAGTGCTTTTTTGATAATACTGGGCTTTCTCGTAAAGTGTTTCTTAATGAGATGTTTGGTCTCGAATAACTATTTTATAGTCCTCCAAAAATTTTTGAAATAGTAAGCTCAGTCAACAATTAGGTTGTGACCTGCGAAGTAACTGTCAATGGAGTTTCTATACTACGTTGGTAACCACTTAGATACGAAAACGAAAGTGTGTTTCGGTATTCTGCCTTCACTTTTTTATTTTTCGTATTTCTGTTGATGTCGCAATCACTGTTTGTCTGATTAGTCATAGTATTTATTCCGACTTGACGCTGACAGGCAGCAATAGTGGGAGAGTCGTTCTTTTGCGTCTCTGACATGTTTTCTTCCCTTATCTTCAGATTTATGTGACGAATAAAAGTGAGGTTTTTTCTGTTTCGTTACATCAGAGCAGAATCAACAGCAAGGTTACCTCGTGGTGAAAGAGGAGCACAATTTTTTTATGTTGATGCACTGCTGATTGATTATTGAAAGAACGACAGAGAGAGATGAGAAAAATACAACGTTCGAAGTGTGGATTTGGCGATTCTGAAATCTTTTCTCTGTATGAAGTAGTACTAACTCGACCTGAGTAACGTATGAAGAAAAATCCTTTTGCTCTCTTTTAGTCCTATATAGCCCTAGTCATGAGCAATATATGAGCACAAAACTTTTAACCAATTGGTAAGAAACAGAAATATTTGCTGTCTTTTCGATATTCTTCAGAATCGTTCACTGCTTATATCTGAAGTTTAATTGACATATTTTGTGGGTGACTAATAAGAAAAAAAATTATAAAATGATTTTAAGTTAGAAAATTGACAGCAAACATTTGGAATGGTCTTTGTTTGATTAGACTATATTACGACTATGAGTTGCATTTGTAGTATTTCAATGCAAGATGAGTCTTAAAATCGACATGTTCCGGCATGATTCATACATCGGAAGTGACGAGAATCACATGCAAAGGACGTTGTAATTTTCCCTTGTCTGTGTTTTTTTGCGCTGTATACAACTTTCTCTTTTTCATTTGACGAACAAATACACATCGATGATGGATGAAAAACTTACATCGCCACTCAACACACTGCCTGTTGAATTACACTATCGAATTTTGGATCATCTCGATTTTGAAACTATTCTATTTTCGTTTGGACATGTCTGTCAACGATTTCGTGCAATTGTTAACGCTTACAATCAGTACGAAATTGATTTGAGTTCGATTTCTAAGTCGAATTTTCATGCTATGTGTCGTCTTATTCGTCCAGAAAATGTCATTTCTCTTACACTCTCTGATGGCGACAAGACCCCAGGTCAAATTGGACTATTCCTTTCGCTTTTCCGTATTCATCAATTCACTCGATTGCGTCACTTGACTCTTATTCGAATTGATAATGAGGCTCAAAAGAAAATAAGTCGTCAAATAAGTAGTTGTCCGCTTGTCTTACTATCAATAGATGCGCGAGGAAAATCCATCAAATCCACCGCGGCCATTATTTCATCTGTCATTCAGCAAGGCACTCTCTTTACGATCAATCTGAACAGTTCAGGACCTATACTAGACAAAGTATCGTGGCCCACCTATTGTTCTTTACTACATCTCAAAATTCAGAAATGTAAACAGAAACAATTTGTTGCTATTCTTAATCAGTTACCTCGTCTGCGAACATTTGAAATGGACGATTACACAATGAGTTCTACTGATACAATTATAGCTACGATTTATCCATCATTGATCTCCTTGACAATGAACAACAGTACCATTTCTATGGTGGCTGTCGAATCGCTTCTGTCATTAACGCCTTCCCTCATGCATTTGAAATTGATAAGTAAAAATAGTTATCATTTCCAGTCTATTTCTAATGGTTCCCGATGGGAAGAAGTTATTCAATCAAAATTACCCGAACTTGAAACATTCGAATTTTTCTTTGCTCAAAAATATCGGCGACGAAATCTGCCATTGGATATTGAATCGGTGATTGAACCATTTCGAAGACCATTCTGGCTCAAATACAAACGTTGGTTTGTCTGCTGTGAATGCATCAAAATACCGCAAGCCAATATAAGATTGTATTCAATACCAATCTGTAAAACGAGCCTCAAACACGGGTTGTCCAACAAACGCATTTTATCGTCCGTCGACATGCTCGACAATCAGATGGATCGTGTATGCACACTCGATGTCAATCTGACTAATATGCCAATATCGATTACTGTACGAAAGGTATGATAGATAAGAGTTTCTCCTTGATTATTCAGCAGTTTATCATCAGTTTTCCTTATCGATAATGTTGTTTATTTATTTATTCGATAGATATACTTCCCTAATACCATTTGTAAGCGTGTGTGGGAATCTCAAGAAATTGAGCGCAAGAACTCAGTACTACTGATTGACGTTCTGATCAGGGCTAGTAGGATATGAGGAACCATCTCTAAAGCGTGTATACTCTAGGATGAATAATGGACTTCGGAAATGGCGTACCTTTACCAATGCCTTATACCTAGAGGTGTACACTAACCAATTGATCTGCGATCGCTACTCGCCGTTTGAAACAATTAAGTTGACTGAAGCCATCGACAGTAGAACGAATCTGGACGCGCTGCAGTCGTTCTCAGTAATCCTTTCTGTGTTTTTTCTTCCATGATACATAAAGGAGATTGAGCGCGAACGCGCTACGCGATCGCTATAGGACTCGCGAAATAAAATGCGCTTTTAGCGATCGCTATAAAGTCTTGCTATAGTGATTTTCGCGACAAGATCTTGCTAGTTATATAAGAAAATTGCTCTGATTCTGAATATGTGATTGGTTTTTAGTTTTGATGTTAGTATCCGAGAAAACTCGGATTTTCCTCAAAAACGGAGGGTTTTTGGAAAACCTGTAACTCAGCTCAGGGGCATTTGGGCTATTTTGGGATAACAGCACCGATATATCGTTAGTAGATACATGTTTGGTAAAAATTTCATCTCATTTGGAGTTTTGGAAAAAATCGGAAACCGACTATACTGTGGTCTGCTCTTTGGAAAACACTTAGCACAGAAAGAAAATATTTTTATGAGTAGATAGAGTGGAAGATCTAGTTTCGCACTATATATAAGTTTTGCAAATATCAGACTCGGTTTTACCAAAACTAATTTTTATCGCATCATCGTTGTGTTTTCCGACAAAAATTTGATTCTCTGCTTTCTCGCTAATTATCATGATATCTAGAAAAAAACTTTCAGTGGCAAAAAGATAGAGCGTTTGTCGAAGTATATGTTCTACTATTTGAATTTGCCAAAAGTCCACTTTCGTTTTTTCACCTAATGTACACATGGTTGCCCACTGTGTCACTCTGTTTTGCCTGAGACTATGGCGGCCTTATCTTTGCGTTGGGGTAAATCTGCCTCGTGTGTTGAAGCAATCAATTGCACCGTATTATCATGGCCTTGTTTATTTATATACCGAATCAAAGTGGGTTTTTGGTACAGTCACGAACATTTATCAATGTTCCCGTGTTGAAAGAGGCAGCGGTTTCATTAAATTTCAAATTTTTTCGCCGAAAAAACTCCAACTGCCGCTGTCTCCTATAAACTGGTATCAGTAGTCTCAAGAAGGTAGTATTCCTTCTTGCTCTACTTCATCTCTCTGAATCATAACAATGTAGTTCTAAAACGTCTAATTTTGGGACCTTAAGGGCGGGGCGGGGCGCCCCTCCACCCGGTTTTTTTACCAGTTTGTAGGGGACACTTCGGAGTATAGGTCTCCACAAAGCTTTCAGTTCCCGGATCTGTAGTTTTTGATAAAAAAAGTTTTGAACTTTTTTCCGGGTTTTCTGCCCTATTTTCAAAAATTTCAATAAAAACTTCGGCTTTTGATATGAGGAGTTGATCCTGGCGTAGGTCGATAGAGAACATTGACTTGTATAAGGAAAAAAACTTTACATCGTTCTCAAATGAAGTTTGACGGAGAGATTTAACTTTTACCTTCCTGAGGAAATTTTTAAGCTAAAAGTATTTTAAAAAAAGCCTTACGGCTAGTTTCGCTCGAAACAGGTATTTTGAAACAAAACTCTGGATGCAAATTGTTGTTCAGAATCGAATTCCGGTGTACCTCACGAGTGCTTCTTTTAAAATTTTCTTTTTTTGCTTTTTAAATTGAAAAATGTGAAATTTTAAAATTTTAAAAACTGTAAGATTTAATTTAAAAACGAAAAACAGAAAATTTTAAAAAAACTCTCGTGACGGACTGCTGAATTCGTTTCTGAACAACTTTTGTACCCAAGGTTTTGCTTCAAAATGCTTGCTTCGAGCGAAACTAGCCGTGAGGTGCGGTGAAAAAATCTTCGCTGAGCCAAAAACCAGCGATAGTTTCACGTTTTGAGTATTTTCGGCAAGCCTTCCCGGTTTGCAGAGGACACTTCGAAGTGTATGTTCGGAAGTTTTTTCGGGTTACTGAAATTATTTGGCTGAGAAAAAAATTAATTACTTAGATTTTGTTAAATTCTCGACTTACCGGACTTACCGAGCGACTAAAAACGAATTCTAAAATTCTTATGTAGTCCATATTGTAGCCCGTGAAATTCGCTGTCAGATGAGGTATTGCTTGAATCTTTTTGTTGCGTTGCTATTTTATAAATAAGACTCTAGTAGAGTAGGCTAAATTAACTTTAATTAGTACTAATTGGCCAATACCAGGAAGGAAAGGACAAAAATTCTTGCATAGTTTCTCGTAATAAATATTCTCCATACATTTCTCTATGAATCTAGGCAAGAATCAAGCTTTTATGATGAATGGAGAATGGACAGGAATTTTTTTAATAATAATCCCTTGTTCAAAAATTTACCAATATTTTTTTAAATAATTAGTTTTTTTCTCAGCCAAATAATGCCAGTAAACCGAAGAAACTCCAGGACATACACTTCGAAGTGTCCTTTACAAACTGGGAACGTTAAAGAAAAATTTAAATGGGGCCGGGGGGGGGGGGGGGGGGGGGGGGGGGGGGGGGGGGGGGGGGGGGGGGGGGGGGGGGGGGGGGGGGGGGGGGGGGGGGGGGGGGGGGGGGGGGGGGGGGGGGGGG